TATCATTTTTTTTCATTGCTTTTATAAGTATTTCGATGATAATCGCTGAGCAACCGGTAGTCGCTTGTGAGATAAAAACAATCATCCCAGTAACCCCAGAAAAGATTCTGACAGAAAAGAAAGCGGATCTAATGCATAGTCCAGGGCAAGATGGAGTAAAACACTTCAGATGGACGCGCTTTTGTAATATCTAAAGTCTCAAAGTGAGGATTCGCGTGATTTTGCACTCGGTAATAATATCAGAAGCTGTACAGTGACAGTTCGCTTGTGGTCAGTAAAGACCATCGACTTCTGGTCATCAGCTTCTAAACTGAAGTACCATCTGGTCGTCCGCCTAGTCCTGATTTTCATGCACAAATTTTATTTCAATTTCGGATGTAAATAGATCTAATATGTAAAAATTTTTTTTTTCCGACGACGAATCTGGGAAAGTATCAGTTTTTAGGGACTCGTAAAGCAATTCTAGTAAAAATTTCATAAAATGCAAGTTCCGTTTGATGGTAACCAATAGACATCACATATTGGTTAGTGGTAATCGAAAGAGGGTGATTACTTTTGCACCACTTACAAAAAAAACTACATGTAGACTTTGGTGGCTCCAAGAGATCTGGAATACGTCGTACCTTCAGTGCAGAGGCTCACATCTGCTGTGCCCAATTGTGTTCATTAAAATATTAAGATATTTCAAAAAGAGGCCAAAAATTTGGAAAAAATTAAAAATTACTAAAACGCTTCTGAAATTTACTACATTGACCAGCGCCAATGAAAGATGGAAAAATTAACTGTACTTTTTAGTCAGTATTCTTAAAGCAGTCTATTTTCACTACCTATGAGAACTGCCTTCTCGACATGTAAGGGGCCTGATTGTACATAAGGTGGAAGAGGGAAATGAGGGAAAACGATAAAGATCTTCCATCCATTTACTGTCAGCCCATTCGAATTTATCTGTACAATGGATTTTTTCAAACAATAAGTGCATCATTTTTTTCATCATTAGGAAAAAAAATGATTCTCACACGGGTGAAAGAAGGCTCCAAAAGTCCGGATGATTCAATCCAGAAGAAGAGCAGAAAATGCTTCTTCCATGATTTATTTCTGCACCTCTCTCTTTTTTTTTTTACAGTACATTGATGCTCGTTTTCCATATTACCGTAATTGTGATCCAAAACGACGTCAAGGATGGCAGAATAGTATCAGACATAATTTATCCCTCAATGATTGC